ATCATGATGCTGCCACCAACATGCTTCCCATCATGATGGTGCCACCACCACGCTTCACATCATGATGCTGCCACCAACATGCTTTATATCATGATGATGCCACCAACATGCATTACATCATGATGCTGCCACCACCATGCTTCACATCACGATGGTGCCACCACCATGCTTCACATCACGATGGTGCCACCACCGTGCTTCATCATGATGCTGCCACCACCATGCATCCCATCATGATGGTGCCACCACCGTGCTTCACATCATGATGGTGCCACCTCCATACTTCCCATCATGATGCTGCCACCAACATGCTTCCCATCATGATGCTGCCACCACCGTGCTTCACATCATGATGCTGCCCCCCCCCTATGCTTCATAGTGGTGACGATGCCAAACATAGTGTCTAGTCTAATGGCCACGAATCTCAATTCTGGTCTCATCAGACCACAGAATCTTCTTCCAGTTGACTCCAACATGCCCTCTGGTGAACTTGAGTATAGATTTAACTTTCTCTTTGCCATTCTTCCATAAAGCTTTGAAGAACAGACAACAGTTTCTGTATGAACAGTCTCTCCCATCTCTGCAGCTGAAGGTTCCTTCAGAGGATTCACGGTGTCTCTCGGTGGCGTCCATCATGAGTCTCTTTCTTGCTCAGTCACTCAGTTAATATGTTCCATATTCCTTGTATTTCTTTATAATGGATTTAACTGCACTCCGAGCAATATGCAATGACTTGGAACTGTTCTTGCATCCATCCTCCAACTCATACTTTTCAACAACCTTTTAGCAGAGTTGCTTCGGGTGATTTTGTCTCCAATTGCATTGACCATTATTGAATTTCGAGAAGCAATAAAAGGGGAAAACATGCTGAATACTTTATATGTGGACATTGTACACACCAAAGACCTTGAATCTGGTCATTAAAGATAAAATTAAATCTGTTTTGTTTGGTTAATTTATTTATAGTTCTCAACGCAGGCTGCATGTAGGTATAATATTTACTCCCAGAAGTGATGCTTTTAATTAGTTGAGCCTGTAAAAACTGGGTTAAAGCTCTGGACAAATATGTGAACTACTGTTGTTATTCATCAATTAATGTCATTCAAAAAGCAGTAAAATCTACATTTCGTGTTAGCGTCTCCAGCTCCACTTGCACACAGTTTTTCATGATTCTTGGAGAACTCGCCTCCGTTCGTCTGTGGATTCAGTCGTCTGTCTCTTCATATCATCCCAAACAGACTCCGTGACGTTGAGACGAGTCGTCGTCTCGTGCAGGACTCCTTGTTCTTCAGATGCAGTTCTTCTTCTCGACTCCGGCTGCACGTTTGGGCTCGTTGTCCTGCTGCACAGTGAATTTTAGGCCGATCTGACGCCTCCATGACAGATAAAAACCGCCTGAAACTTTTCGCCCAACTTACAAAAGCCAGCGCATTTTATCAGGGAGGCGACTTCCACTGAATATAAATGAGGTTCTGCTCC